GAAAAATTGTAGATCAGAAATAAATAATCATTGATAATTAAAACCGACTGAAATTGATAACTGAAAGTTTGTTTTTAATTATTTTCCTCGCGCTTTTTTGTTTTTTAATTTATTCATCTTTCCGCCTTTTTTGATCTTTCACACTAGTTTTTTTTCAGTTTTATGAATAAAATGAATTATCTTTACTCCAAAAGGATGTTGTTCAACATTCAATAGTGTATAAAGTATTTTCAAATGATTACATAATTGATATTCAGGACTAGATTTTGATTAGTAGTCTTGTAGTGAAGGAGAACACAGGTGGGGCAACCGAATCGTATATAACGAAAATTACAGAGTTAGTCAGTAAAATCGGAAAATCATATCGTAAATCGTTCATTTGCAAAATATCAGTTCATCATATCGAACTGGATTGTTCCTGTTGCAAAACATCAGTCCATTGTCTGACACTGTTCATGCGTTTCATACAAATTCCATTGTGTTCTAACTCTTCCTTTCTTGATCTTCCTCCACCTTCTGCTGCCAGACATTACGTTGACACTCACGTCATATACTACTTATAAGAAGCTCACACCACGTGTAATAGTGTATTACTTAGCTCCAACAAAGAATCAACGTTCAGTTTTGATTAAATTACTAGATAATATCCGTCTTTTCTTTAAAAGAAACCTCTCACCAAATAGCCTTCTCGCGATAATTCACATAGGATGAATAAATTCTGACCATCCTATCGAAATTGAAATGATACTAATTGAACAAGTAGATGAATACGTGGAATTAGTGGGCGAGTGATTAATGTGTTTGTATTCAAAACTAAAACGATTGCATATGATCACTGACACTAGAATTCAGGTATATTCAACTAACATGTTTCAAGTTGGTCGAAAATGAGTAACAAGCATGATGTCATGAGTTTCATTGCAATCATTATCTGGTTAGCATTTGACCATCAATGGAACAGGAAACCTACAAGCACTAGATGGCCGTTTCGTCCTAGTTTCAGGACCCCTTAGTAGTAGGCGTCCAAGACACTGAAGGCGGAAAGTGAACCCAATACCTCAAGTGCATCTTAACCTGTTGACCACTGATTCGGCATCCAAAAATTTTATAGTCTAACCTAGATTAATTTAGCTAGTTCATGATTTCAATGAAATTCATTTATGTCTACAACAGTAACGCATGTTACTATCAGAGTTTCGCCATTTACTAGATTCATGAGAGGGTTTTTGAAGTTCTAGTGAGAGATCGTGACTAGTGCAGTCCAAGAATATCTGATGTGACATACAAACCCACCAAAGAAAATGGATGAGGTCACACAATATCGTGGATTGATAAAAATAACACTGTTGCACATTGGCTCAATGGAACAGTTTAAACGTTCGCGTATCAGACGGAAGGTCCAGTGTTCGATTCCCACCTGCGGGGTCGTGGATGTCCAGGTTTCTAATGGTAACCTAACCAATTCACGGTAATTCTTGACTTATTCTGATTGATTTTCTAGTATAAAATCAAAATGGTGAATAACAGTGAAGTTAATCCTCAGAAGAGATTTTTACCAATTATCTCTTATCATCAAATATCACTACTAAATCCAAAACCAAATGATCAGTCAGTTTTTAATGTAGATCGTTATCAATAACTCCTAATTTCCGAATCATGCCAATTGCCATTTAAAATGGTTAAAATATAATATTAACACCGTTGGATGCTGGCCCAGTGATCCAGAGGTTAGGCGTCTGTGTGCAAATCGAAAGTCGTGGGTTTGAATCTTCTGAGTTACATGTATCGTGGGTGAGCAATGCTGATGAGTCTCATACCAGGATGAAACGGCCGTCCAGTGTTTCCAGATTCCTAGTAGTGGTCTAACAATGATTCATTCATGATTTCAGGAATAAAATATAACAGTTTCGCATTACTGACCAGTGAATAGAAACTATTTTCATTTGGTCTACGCATTGTACTTATCTTCATTTATTGATAAAGTTGTAACGTCGTCTTTAATCAAGGGGACACATGACATATATAAATTCCTAGGTAAAATACTACTTTTTGTAGGCTGCATGGAATAGATTTGTGGCTTAACAGATGTTTAAAACTAAATTGACTGGGAAGAGATTGATCTCGTCACAGGAATATGATAGGATAACATTGGGTTCTACCAAGTGATGCAATAATGTGTAAATTTCTCAGTTCTGTACAAAGTCAGTTTAGGTGTTGAACAGCTCTTATATGTGTATTATCTCTGGTTGTGACACTGAGTAACACAACATTGAATTAAGTATAGAAAGTTGCTGTGATGTGAGGTGTCTGAGAAACGAATTTGATACGCGTCAACACCCGTCTCTCCCAAACTGACTACTTCAGGGTGAAGTCAAGAATAGAAGAGAAAGTTTATTTGGTTACCTTATCATATACGTAAACACTCAATCACACATATGTACATTTCATAATCTTTGGGAATGAATCCATTTCTTGACCAATGATATATACAAACTGTTTAGGACATTTCGGATTCCCTGTAAATAATATTTCCATCCATGGTGGAGAAGATTTGTATCTCAGTCACAAGGTGTTTTTCCTTGTTTTTTAGTGCTTCGTATGTGCTGCAGTGTGACTGTCTTGCAAAAGAACGGCTAGTTACGCAACTTCATCAAAAAACATCAACCGAAATCATCATCAGAAGCGAAATCAAGCACAGGACCCAATAAACGGATATCCTACCATACATAAAAGACATATCGGAGCATACAGCACGACCACTGAAGCCATTAGGAATAGGTGTGGCACACAAAGCAACAGAATCACTTTAATCAATCCTATGTAGACCAAAGGACAAAATGTCAAAGGAAGAAACACCAAATATAATCTAAAAAATAAATTCCTCAGACTGTGAAAAACACTACATAGGACAAAGTGGACGACCTCTTCAGCTTCGTTTACGTGAACACCAATTAGCAGTCAAACGCCACGACAACGCTTCGCTTATATCAATACACACCGACAATTATGGACACATATTTGATTGGAACAATGTGGAAATACTGGGTAGGGGGAGGACAAAGAGCACTAGGGAATTTTTAGAAGCTTGGCACTCAGGTCAATTAGCAATCAACAAACACATCGACATTGACCCAATTTATCAACCAATCAGGAAAATCATGGGTGACAGGATCAAGAAACAGATCAAAAGGGGGATGCAATCAAAACAAAGGTGCAAACTTAGAACAACACATATAAGCGAACAATATTGTTTTCGATCAGATCGTCATCAGGCTTTACTCTAATTTACATGAATATTTATATGAAAATGTTAAACCAATCAAGGCAATTTGAGTCACAATCACAATGAAATGAAAAAGATTACGTAACTACGTGTAATAGGCAAAATTATAAAACATAGATAATAAAAAGGTGCAAACAACGACAGGTTTAAGGTCAACAACAACCAATCAAGATCGAGGTTAGCAGAAAAAGCTACAGGACAGGTCAAACGTGGAGAAATTCAAATGCTTCACTTCTATCTGAAGTTTGTGCTGATGTTGTTGTTGTTCAGAAGAGAACAATGAAAGCTCCACAACCGAAACACCCAGCTCAGAGAACCAAACACCACCATCACAATTTCCATTCATTCAACTCTGACTGACTTTCTTTAGTCAATATAAAATCTTTTGAGATTATAAATACACTTTATTGATAAATATTATCTAGCATGAAATTTGTGGCTACGTCGAAAGTGAGGTAGGATTCTCTAGCTCAGTGGCCCGTGAGCTGACTCTGTTAGTTACGATGTTCGAATATGCAATGAAATAAACCTCCTCTTCAGTTTCGGTATATCATATTTACACAAACCACCTTACTGTGATGACAGCAATTAGAAGCCAAATACGGATTCGGTTGGATGAGTTGATTCCAACCAGTCATTCATGCATTCATTTAAGCAGATAGACATGAAAATGAAAAGCATACAGTCAGAATGAAACAAAGTGGAGAAGGCCAGCCAGCCAACTCTTCTGATCTCTCATATCATTTTCACTTTCATGTCTTATGCCTGTGGTTTTGTGACCTGTGTGGTGCGATAATAAACGTGTTCAACGATTCGTATTCGTCTTCTGATTGATACACCATTAGGCGTTATCTAGGAACGGTTATCTGGACGAGTAGTATACAAGGTTTGGGAGCACCTTGAATACCGACCGCCACAGATCTAGTGAGTCACTCTTTAAAAGAAAAAGATAAAGGTGATGAGGAACTTCAGAGTTTATGATTTGAGAGGCCACAAAAATGAGTCCACCCGCACCATTATAAACGATATCAGTCAGGGTCTCTAACCATCGATTACTATCATCTCACGGGCCGCAATCAGGTAGTCGACAACTACCAACATGACTCAGTCCAATTGCCAGTAACTTCATGGATTTCTGCTGTTTTTTTGGCCACCCCTAACCTTCTTCCAATCTATTCCTACATCGCAAAACATAGCTCAACGAGGCAGTCAGTGGTTAGGCATACGTAACACATGTCCCAACCATCTCAACTGAGCCCAATACCTAGTTCAATGCAGTCTACCAACAATGATGATTCCCATGACAAGCATAATGCAGACACTAAAATTGGTGGTTCTGAAGCCTAAATGACGCAGCCATAAGTTCTTGAAAATTACCTCTTCTTATCAAGCATTTCACTTTGTAATCTATTTCATGGATAAAATCGTAGGTAGCTCCTACTTTTGATAATTTGGATAAACACTGCTCCTTTTTATGCTGACACTAATCGATTTAATGATCAATGTTAAATATTCACTTAAACTTAATCATATAAAAATATTTATTTGTTTTAATTTATAGATTTAAGTTGGAATGTTCTCGCAAAACAAAAAGGAGAAAACTCACTAAACTATTCAATGTGAAAATTTCAAAATAAAACAAATCAAAAATGGAATCATTTTTATAATGGACAAATTGTTGACAGATCGTATATAATATTTGTAAACTGTCAATTCCATGGATACAGAAGAAGGTGGACGTTTTGATTTCAATGATGGTGGTACTTACATTGGTAATTGGTTTCAAGGTTCAGCGCATGGATTAGGTTTAGCCACTGGACCAAATGGAATTGGTGAGTATTCTGGTGAATGGAATTTAGGCTTTGAAACATGTGGTGTCTATTTATGGCCAAATGGTAATATGTACGCGGGTACATGGATTAAAGGTAAACGTCATGGTGATGGTGTTCAAGTCAGAGGTAAATGGATTTATCAAGGTGAATTCAATGCAGGAGCTTTTGGTCCATATGGAGTGAAAACAGCAATTAATAGTCAAGCAAAATATGAAGGTAGTTGGAATTTAAATCGATCCGAAGGTTTTGGAATTGAAACATGCGCTGATGGAAGTATGTGGTTGTAATTTTTTTTTGAAATACAAACTATGAAATAATCATTTACTGTGTGAAATTCGATATGAAACTATACTTACTTACTTACTTACTTACTTACTTACTTATGCACTTACTTACTTACTTACTTACCTACTTACTTACTTACTTACTTACTTACTTACTTAATTACTTACTTATGCACTTACTTACTTACTTACTTACTTACTTACTTACTTACTTACTTACTTACTTACTTACTTACTTAATTACTTACTTACTTACTTACTTACTTACTTACTTACTTACTTACTTACTTACTTACTTACTTACTTACTTACTTACTTACTTACTCCTGTAAACCCCAATGAAGCATATGTTGCTGACCAGCATTCTGTTAGATAATCTGTTCTCAGTCTTTCTTTCTAGTTCTATCGAATTATTGTTCATTCTTCTAATGTCTCTTTCCATTTCTCGGCGTAATGTGTTCTTTTGTCTTACTCTTTGAGGATTCCAAGTAAGGGCTTGTCTTGTGCCGCAGTTTAGTGCTTTCCTGAATGTATGTCCTATCCACTTCCAGAACTTCTTCCGGATTTCTTCCTAAACTGAAAGCTAGTTTACTCTCTCCCTCAATAGGTTGTGTAGCTAATGGTGTTTGGTCAACGGATCCGAAGTATTTCGCTTAGTCAATTGTTGATAAAAAAACGCTTTTATCTTATGGATGATTGATTGGTATGTAACTATACTAAATTCAGATCATTGGTGATCAGTTTACTTTCTAAAATTCTATTTGCCAGTTATGGGTTTCGTATTAGTTAGCACTGATCACAAAGACTTAAATCTACAACTGTGAACGAAATAATCTCAGAGTGATCGTCTGACTAAGACTATGATATTGAGTCACAGTTCACTGAAGCAATATCATTTAACTAGTTAGCAAGTTCTAGCTAGAATATAATCTATGTCCTAGGGTTTTATTGCCAACCATCTTTCATCACCTAATATCAGTTTATGGTTTATACAATGCATAGCCATATAAAATTCTTCTCAGGGGATCGATCAGTAAATAAATATATAGTCTTTAAGATCTCGAAGCATAAACACTGAGCTACAGAGGTTTATTATTTAGGTAAATACCGAAGAGGCACGTTAATATTTGTGCACTATCCAAATTATTACAATTGTAAGTGAGCTGAAACATTTTTTGCTGGTCAAACTGTACTAGGGTGGTTTTCTTAAGGAGACACTTCTCATGGCTTTGATTTACATGTTTAATTCACAAGGCCGTTTAGCAACGCCAAGATTAGGAAAGAGTGTTCGATATGAGGTTAGCGAACCCACTCCTTAGAAACCCAACTTGTTAAAAAAGAAACTCAGACCAGAAAAAATTATGCAAACCATTTAAAGTCTCTCCAGGCAGCTAGAAGGTCTTCAGCCAGAAGAGTTATGATGAAAATCGAGTTAGTTTGGAATTTACGAGGATAATGCCCCTATTGGCAATCAAAGCAATCGTAAATATAAGTAAATCATCTAAAAATTGATCAGATTATTGAGTTATAAAAAAGGATTTATAAACAAAAGCATCCCGTTATTTTCTTTAGGGAATTTGTCAAAACAGATAGACTAATTAAGTGAAAAAGTAATAGGTTAATTTATACACTCATTATAATACACTACCTTATTAAGTTTCAATAGCCATATATTGTCCGTAGCAAGAATAATCGACATATAATTTATATTCACTGTCATTTTTCAGTAATTTAATAAGTGCCTACATAAAAGAACTCTTTCCAAATAGATAGAATGTAGTTAGCAGTTGAATGCATGAAGAGCGATTCTTTTTATTTGAGAGCTTTTACTGTTATTCTGAACAACATCATCAGCACAAACTCCAAGTAGGAGTAATGTATTCGAATAACTCTACGTATGATTCGCAGCTTGTCCTGTTGAGCTCGATTTTGATTGGTTGTTATTAACTTTTAACCTGTAATTGTCTGCATCTTTATATTTATCATATCCTTCTTTACACATTTGAAATCATCAATCAATCATTGTTAGACCACCATTAGAAACCTGGAAGCACTGTTTAGCCGTTTCGTCCTGATATGGGACTCATCAGCAGTGCGCATCCACGACACCAGTACCTCTCAGGATTCGAAACCGGGAACTTCGGTATTGTGCACGAACGCTTAAGCTTTGGATCACTGGGCTGATATATAATGGTGTTAATTTCTATCTCTGATTGATCCATGGATTTCGCGCGACCTCACTCATTTGTCTTTGGTAGTTACTGCCTACATTCGACAGGATTGAACTTCACTGGTCACGTCTTCTCATTAGGACTCCGAGAATTTTCTCACGAAGCCAGTCTTTAGTAAGCATATTTTACGATGTTTTCGATTAGAGTTATGGAGATTAGAGTTAGATATTAACACCGTTGGATGCCAGCCCATCGGTCCAAAGGTTATGTGTTCGCGCATAATACCGAAGGTCACAGGTTCGAATTCTGCGAGGTGCCGGATTCGTGGATGCGCACTGCTGATGAGTTCCATATCAGGACGAAACGGCGTCCAGTGCTTCCAGGTTCCTAATGGTGGTCTAACAATGGTTGATTGATGATTTCAAGTGTGTAAAAATACTAATCTCCATAACTCTAATTGAAAGTATCCTTCTTTGATTTGGTTCTTGATCCTATGTTTATCTATGATTTTTCTGGTTGGTTGATAAATTGGATCAATGTTGATGTGTTTGTTGACTGCTGATTGACTTGAGTGTGCATAGCTTCCGAAATATTCTCTAGTGTTCTTTGTACTCCCATCGACATTTTTAATTAAAATTTAAAGCATAATTTCCAACGATTTATGAACTAAACTAAAATGAAAATAAGTCAATAGTAGGCATTTCGAGATCAATAAAATAACTGGATTAGTTATTCTTAAGTGAAATTTACATACCTACTTATTCACTTACTTATATAGCTTATGCTCATAATGCCATCTCAAGGGCATGGGCTAAGTGACAACTGTATCTGATTAGTTAACATTAGAACATAAGAAATATCTTAAATCGTTTAGAATAAATCATGTAAGCCGTTGGATGACAACTAAGTGGTTTGTGATGAATTAATTCCCGCCACAAGACCTAAGGATTATGCGTTCGATAATCCGTAAGGTCACAAATACACACTGTTATTAAGTTCTTTCTGGTTTACAGTGGTTACACAATTAAGTTCAGTCGGTGTTGTAATGTACAATATTAAAAAGAATTATTTATTCATCATTTTTGAACGCCTTGTCTTATTATTCAGTTGTCTTGAACATTGAATACATCTAAACAGTGTAATAAATTCATTCAAATTATTGATGCTTTACAAAACTATTCATCCTAATATCCTTTTAACACCCTTTATAAGGCTAAGCATCGGATGACAAATATTTGTAATTGAAAAGTCTTGGAAATCATGAATTAACCAAGAAAATTTAAATTCTCTAAGTATAAATTGGAGATACTTGAAATCCTTTCACATAAACAAAAAAATATTGTCTGAAAGAATGATAGAGGCTTTTATTCTTTACATCATTATTATTTATTTATCCTAAATTATTTATATGAACATTCAGTAATTTGAAACTAACTAGGTCAACTTTTCACCTTGTATTTGATTGGTTGTTAATATGTTGTAAAAACTTTACTAGTCCACTCACTGCTAATGTAGACTTTTATAATAAATATCTAAAAATATAAAACTAAGGTGAGACTATAATTTATGGACGAACCAATCAGATGTAAGATAATGAGTCTTGGTGTAGACTGTAATTTCAGCATTTGCATTTACTGTGAAGGTATCTTTGTATACTTGAGGAGAGTGAGAACGAGTGTGTGCGGTTATTTGGAAGTGGGAAACAACAATAGAGGAAGTGAGCCGACGACTCAGTAGGTACATAGAATGTACTAACATTTGATAGACAAAGTTATCGACAATAACACAAGCAACCCTAACACTAACAAACTGAAAACCGAAACTAGAAGTTGGTAGCATAAATTTCCGAATGAGTTACAACATGGCTAAACAGCAGCTAGCCATTATAGATGATGTCAGTTCAAAATGGAAACTTTAGCTTCTAATTCTGAAATGGAAGTCTAATACCTGACACTAATTAGCAATCCTCCTTTGACCTTAATAATTAGGAGATTTTTCTCGAGTTTACTTGGATGTTGCTATAAGTTCGTCCAAAAATTATAGTCTTGTCATAACTAAAATCTATTTACAAGTGTTTTTATTTCGAGTAATTCAGTAATAAAGATTCTATTTCATATAATGTAAGATTCGAATAAGAAGTTACATTATTTTTCAAAAATTAACTTAAAATCAAGGATATATATGGGGATAAGTGATTTGTGTTAAATTGAGCTTTCTAATCAACTTTATTAATAGCATTGCCAGCATCAAACCATTTGCTGTGGATGTGGGTTCACCAACTATGTGGTTGTTGATCATAAACTTCGTTCATTGCTCGTCCTGATAACCGTTACTAGGTAACGCCCAATGGTGTATCAATCAGAAGACGAATACGAAGCGTTGAACACGTTTATTATCGCATCACACAGGTCACAAAACCACAGGCATACGACATGAAAGTGAAAATGACATGATAGTACCAAAGAGGAAGTGAGTGAATGAGTGAGAAAGCCAGTGAGTGCGCATATGGGAGCCCACATCCACCACAGAATTGATGAGCCTGACGACGAACATAATACACCCTCGACTTAGAATAAAGCGCACCTATACTCTTATGATTTCGTGAAAGAGTTATCTTATCCTATCGATAGCTTAATATCATACTGAGGATTAGATTAGATCGTCATCAGGCTTTAGTCTAATATACATGAATATTCATATGAAAATGTTAAACCAATCAAGGCAATCTGTGTCATAATCACAATGAAATGAAAAAGATTACTGGGGCACAGTTTTGGAGGTTTGCGTTTTTACACATTTGAATCATCATTGTGAGACCACCATTAGAAACCTGGAAGCACTGGACGGCCGTTTCGTCCTAGTATGGGACTCCTCGGCAGTGCGCATCCACGACTCCTGCTCCTCGCAGGATTCGAACCCGGGACCTTTGGCATTGTAGGCGAACGCCTTACCATCGGACCACTGGGCCGGCATCCAACGGTGTTAATGTCTAACTCTGATTGATCTAGGGATTTTGCGCGACCTCACCCAATTGTCTTTGGTAGTTACTGCCTACACCCGACAGGGTTGAACTCCACTGGTCACGTCTTCTCAACTAGAACTCCGAGAATTTCCTCACGAAGCTAGTCACTTGTGAGCACTGTTACGATATATTGGGGCACAGTTTTTGGAGGTTTGCGTTTTTACACATTTGAAATCATTAATCAATCATCATTGTTAGATTACGTCACTATATATAACAGGCAAAAGTACAAGTTGATAGTAGGAAGACAGGTGTACTGATAGTAGTAAGAAAATTATAAAATATGATAACTAAAGTTTTATCAATAGTAGGTCGAACGTGGATGAATAGACTTCAAATAATCGTTAAAAACATCAAAACCATTACGTAATAAGCAAATGTGTAAAAATAAAAAGATAAAAAATATAATGTCAATCTTTAGTTACGTCATATCCGGCCACGGAAGAGATAGGTGTGTCACGAATTTCTTCTGAACACGTAAATTGGGGTTGAATGTACGTATTCCTATGGCTTCTGTAATGTGTAGGAGACGGGATCGAACTCCATTGGGAAATGATGGAGATATACGATAGATCACCCGAAAAGATCTATATTTATCTGCAATGTGACCACTATCTACCAGGTGTGCTAAGATAGAACTGCGTATTATTTTTGACTGACCCTTCGTAAACCATGTTTGGAGATGTTCACTCATTCGTTGTGTAAGTTGCCTGGAAGTACGTCCGATATAGCTATCTCCACAGGAGCAGCTGAATTTGTGAATGCACATAAAGGAGGCCAACTCAGTTAACTTATCCTTCGTTTGAGTAGACATCGCTGGTCGACAGGAGAATGTCAATGCAAGTTTGGCAGCGGTGAATGTTCTATTAATTACTCTTATTAATCTGTCCTGCAGAGTATCACAGGCCACATCTCCGTTGCATTGTAACTTCATAAATAAAGGCTTCTTTTGAGCAGTCGAAACCACCGAATTCTTTTCTACGGCAAACATATACTTCTTTATGAATGCGCTGGGATAACCAATCTCGGTTAGTGAGCAGTTGATGAATTCCAGCTCCTAACTTAAAGTATCCACTGAACATTTCATATTTGCTCTGTTAGAGAGACATCTAACCAAATTTCTTTTGTAGTGGATAGGTGTAAAATTACAAAAGTGAGTGTATTGGAGTAAAGCCTGATGACGATCTAATCGAAAACAATATTGTTCACTTATATGTGTTGTTATCAATGAACTTCACTAATAATTGTTCAATGAATTAAATGTACTGCTTTTGTAACAAAATTTGAGGGCTGTAGATTTAAATCTGTGAGGATGTTGGTGTAAACAACTGAAGAATTCTGTAATAGTATATAAGTGAATGCTCAATGTTCCTTTCAATACATTGATTCTTCATCTGATGTCAGGCTTTGATCTATTATATTCGTAGTTGAAATTCTTTAATGACTACTAATTTATTTTTGCAATAAAAATTACATTTATGAACAGAGATAGATGGTAGTTAAAAAAAGGATCCAGAACGCGTGTTTCATCCTATGTGGGACTCATCAGCTCGATGTACCTGCCACATCTCAGAGTTGATGTTCACTTCGGGGTCTCAAACCTAGTAATTTACACTTTAAACACTTAGTTACTGAATCTAGATAATCTTCACTCCATCATACAAGTGAGTGGCTTTTAAAGTCTAAGTTACTGGATTCATGTTTCAAAGTGAATATCAACTCTAGGATGCAAGTAAATTCAATAAATGAGTCCTAATTAGGATAAAAAATGTGTTTTGAACTCATTTCTGCTTATAATTTTAGTAACTTAATGGTAATATTGAGGTAATCTACACTGAATGCATACATATCAAATGAGACTGATCTATTGCAGTTGTTAAACATCAATGGGAGGATTCAAACAGAAAATATAAATATATATATTTTTTCTTCTTTCAAAGGTATTTATGCTGGAGCTTGGTCAAAAGGATTTCGTCATGGTCTAGGTGTTCGTAAATCATTTATTACTTATAAAACAAGTACATTATCTGATGACTTAACAAATCCTACAACAAATATTGAAACAATAACCACTACAACCACTACCACAATTACCACCACAATAACAGCATCAACAACCACAACAACCACAACACCATCATCAACAACAACAATATCCACTTCATCAACCGATTATATTCATGAGATTGATTTAAACAATCATACTAATCAATTAAGAAAAAATTATTTCACTAATCAATCATCACCAAAAACATCAGATAAACATCATAGTTCCACTGTCAATTTACCATCGAAAGAATCTATATCAGTAAGTCGTAAAGCTGTCATTGGTCGAGCAATTATGCGTCGTTTAAAGAAACAACATTCTGCTATTGAATTAGGCCGTTCAATGATCAATAACAACAGCAGCAATAATAATAATAATAATAACAATGTTAATCAGTCACCTCATATCAATAATGATACCATGACAAATAATACTCCGAAAATGACATCTCCAATACAAATGAAAAAACCTTCAGTATTCAATGAAAATCTAACCTATTTAAACAATGAAGAACATCACCAACAATCAGAACAACAACAGAAAAAGATGAATCCTTCATTGAATCAACAAAATATTGAATGTATTAATAATGATAATCAAATTGAATATCAAATTGAAGATAATCCACAATTAATTAGTGTAATAGAAATTTATTCCGGTGAATGGTTTCAAGATCAACGTTCAGGTTATGGTATAGTTGAAAGTTCCAATGGTTTTATGTATATTGGTGAATGGATTCGAAATCAAAAACATGGTTATGGTATAATTATTAATCCGAATGGGACAAAAGATGAAGGACAATTTCAAGCAAATCATTTAATTCATAAAATTAATCGTAAAAATAAATTACATTTAATACGTCAAACTAAATTGAAAGAATGTGTTGAAGATGCATTGATTCGTGCAGAATTTGCATCAAAACAAGCGAAATTAATCGCGGAAGAAGAAGCTAAAGAACGGTGAGTTAGCTTTTTATTCATATTCGGTATATTTATTGAATAGTTCTCAGAAGTACTTACTTACTTACTTATTACATCATACCGGGTTGCTCCTAATGAAGCATAGGTGGCCAACCAGCATTCGTCCTTTTACTCTGTCCTGGGCGTTCCTTTTCATTTACACCTTAATTGCTATTCACACTTTACATGTCTGCTTCTAATTATTTTATATACTTATATAAATGGTTGATCTGGTTGTCAGAAGGGGCGTGAGCATTTCGAGTTCCAAAGAAACTCGTCTACATGCTTTGAATTACTTTATATGGTTAGCGTTTTTTGGCGAGTTGGTTTTCTACGGTATGAAGTCTCTGATACCATGCTCAATCCTCCTTCTTTATTCGGTCTTGGGATCAGCAGTAACCCGAGAAAGGCTTCAGGTGATTGAAAAGTATATATACAGAATTAAATATCAGAGTTAACTTCGAAAAATAGAGAAAGATAGACAATATTCTTATAAGTGTATTACTAAGGAATATTTTTAGCATGTTATCCACGGTCTGGAACTCAAAATAACTATCAACCAACACTAAAGTCACAATTTTCAATACAAATGTCAAGACAGTTCTACTATATGAAGCGAAAACTTCGAGAACTACGAAAGTCATCATCCAGAAGATACAAGTGTTTATTAACAGCCGTTTACAAAAAATACCTCGAATCCTTTGAGCATGCTCCAACAGCAACAACCTACTGTAGGAGCAAACAAAACAGATCCCAGTGGAGGATGAAATCAGGAAGAAGCGCTGAAAGTGGATGGTACACACATTGAGGGAAGCGTCCAACTGCGTTACGAGACAATCCCTCAGATGGAATCCTCAAGTCGGAAGGAACAGAGGAAGACCAAAAAACACTTTACGCCGAGAAGTAGAGACAGACATGAGAATGATAAACAGCAGTTAGACAAAACTAGAAAGGAAGGTCAAGGACAGAGTATGTTAGAGAATGCTGGTTGGTGGCCTATGCTCCATTGGAGGAAATGGGACAAACTAAGTAAATTAATGTTAATTGAGGTATGTAATTACAAATTATAAGAATTACTTCCATTACAATCAAATCACAACAGTTGTTAGTGTTCTTGATTCGATCGATTGCAAAAAAAATACAAAATACAACTATTCTCAGTCCACATTATCCATTATGTATGCTGTTGTCTTTACAGTTAATCAACATAACGAATAACTAAAATCTGGGGACAATAAACTTAAATCACTCTATTATCAATAACAGTAACATAATATCAAAACTCACTTAAAAATAAACATTGATTATGCAAACATTAAGTATATTAAAGTATAATAATAAACTGAACAGTAATTATATTATTGGCATCATCATAAATCAGTCATTGTTAGACCAATGTTAGAAACATGGAAGCACTAGACAGCCGTTTTCTCCCAGTATGGGACTCATTGATAACGAGCATCCATGATTGCCGCGAGCGGAAATCGAACCTAGTGCCTACGGTCTCCTGCGCCAACATTTGACTTCTAAACCAATGAGCCGGCGTTTAACGATGAATTAGTAGCCACTTACTTATAGAACATTTTACAATTCGATTAGAATAAGATTATTATGAATTTAGTACTTGACAAAAACACCAAAAAAATAGTTTTTTTACTATCAGGCTGTGGAGATGGTTGAATTTCATTGAAACCATGACCCGACCAATGTTAGACCATCATTGGAAACACTAAATGGCCGACTTTTTCTAATATAGAACTTTTCACTGTGAGCATCTATGACCCTGTAGAAGAAACCTGCTAACTCATGACTAGCTTCATGAGGAAATTCTCGGAGTTATAATGAGAAGTCATGACCAGTGGAGCTCAACTCTGTAGAATATGAGGAAGTTAGCCACCCAAAGATGATGATGGTTGCACGATCTAGAGTGCACACTGCTGATGAGTCCCATTTTAGGACGAAAAGGATATCCATTGATTTTTTTATGTTTCCAATTATGGTCTAACATTGATCAATTTGTTTCTTTCAATGAAACTCATCAATCTCCACAAGTGGTATGATTAATTGGTGTCGTTTTATGGATGAGAAAAACGTGTGGTACTAGTCACTTATTTAAATAAAAGGTAACGTAAAAAAATATACAATAAACCAAGTCATTTATTGTAGAATATTCCATAAATTTCACGCCTTGACTATATATATATATATACCTAAGTATTTAATTCTACGATCATCTGAATTCAATGCAAGTACATTACATTTCATGAATATTTATTATTAATATTCTAATTACCTAGTTCTATTTTAATAAATCAAATAATTTCTGTTTCAGAGCATTAAAAGCTCGTAAAGCAGCTAACTTGGCTATAACTATCATAAAGAAAGCATTGCATTTATCTAATCAAGCAAGAGAATTAGCTTTTCAATTGGAACCACAATTTCATCAACCAGGTAAGTTAAAAAATTCAAAAATTGTCTATTTAGTTTCGAATTAATATCAGTTTGTCTCTAAAAAGATTGAAAAGATGTTGGAAACTTAAAATTACTAGGTGGTGGTTTTGTCCTACCGTGAGACTCACCAGCAATGCACTTCCACACGAATCTGAGTGAGAGAAGTATACCGAAGACCGTAGGTTTCACGTGTCAATGTTTAGCTTCATGACCACTAAGTCGGTATCCAACGTTTTTTTTATGTCTAACTCCAATCAACCCGTGATATTTTAGGAATATTATCCTTTATTTTTAGGTGGGTTACCTGACGGAGTTGAACTCCATTCGTCAAGTCTTCTCACTACAACTCCGAGAATTTTCTCACGAAGCTAATAACTAGTTCGAACATGATTATTGTCGGTTGTGGAGTTTGTTGAAATCATATTTATATTTTTAAATATTCTGTTGAATGAATTGTAAATGAAGCACTCTAAATAATCAGTGTCTACTATAAAATTGAAGCATTTAATTTACAAATTCTACAGCATCAGAATTATGTTCTCAAACGAACTCTGTCATTTTACGATGGAATTCAGATTATCGATGTGGTTTAATATACAAAGCATTTGACTTTTATTCATGTCCAACCCCATTACAGCTATGACATTTAGGTAATCAACTGGTTAGTATAATTAGATTGTCTAGATTAAATAAACTGTGATTGATCAATGAGCACAACGCGGAAAGATCTGTTATCTTATATCGTATAGTGTAATATAATATCTCTCTCTGCCTAATTTGTAATTTATCATATAATGATCTTGACAGCTGACCAATTCATTGAATGTAGTATGTATGTGTTATAAATTGACAATCCTATCTAGCGTTAGATCTAGTATTCAAGTATTGTTTCAAGGCTTGATATGTAAATATACACCATCTCTCAATTAGATTGAATATGTTTAATTGAGATTCACACTAGATATTTATTAGTCCAAACGTCATCGGTGTTGACTAAGTTAAATATGTCCACAGTCGGATGCCACCACTTCATTGGTCTAGAGGCTGTGTTTGCACGTGAGACAGAAGGTCTTGTGTTTGGTTCTCGTGTGCAGAGCTAATGGATGCTCATTGGTGATAAGTTCCATACTAGGATAAAATGGCCGTTTAGTGCTTATAGGTTCTTGATGGTAGTCTAACAATGATTGATTCATGACGTCAATGGAAGGTATTAACTAGTTTAAAGCATGGAAATGAATTCTAGATAATCAGTGTTAGAAGACTTTTCCATACATTATCACATTCTTATCACATTCTTACTAGTGAAATTGACACATGTTATGGTATGCGATGATCCATTTGTGAAAGAGTTACGTGCCAACTTCCTACAAACTGAGTACTTGAGTTAGACAACAAAAGTGGAAAAGAAAGTCTGTTTGACTACTTAAACATACATATCAATACTGGTTTTTATGAATACATTCCTCCTCCTTAGATTATGAATCCATTTGTCGACCAATGATCATTTGTGATTAGCTTCTTTTATCCGTATAATGATCAAATTTCGTAAAGTTGATAAGGCACTTTCAATTTTTCATTAATGCTTTAGTATTTTATTTGGAAAGACATGCTGTAAAATACCAATTATTCAAGCTTAACCACACTGTTGAGCCAGTCAGAGTAGGGATTTTATTTTTCAAGGTTTAATAACAACAGAGTGATTGTAAATTTTTTATAAGCAAACTGTAATTGAAACTCTATCAAACTAAAAATATAACAAGATTATATTTAAAAATAAATTAAGCAAGTATGTAAACTTTTATCGAACTGTTGCTGGTTTTTAGAAATTAGGATAGCGATCTCCAGAACAGCTATTTTAAGAAAATCGGTAGGATGAATTTATATATATTCACTTAAATTCCAACGGAACATCTATCAGTTCTATTGAGACAATAAGAGATGATTACCCAACAAGTGCATTGCATATGAATGTTCAAATTTATAATCACGGGAAGTTATTGATACACTGAAATGACAAACAATCAAAATCAATCAAATCTAAATAGAAATCAGTTTTTTTTCTGTTACGTGTAAAAAATTATTGATTTATTGATTACAAACAGACATGTCTGTTATTTCTGTGATTAACCAATCACCACACCTCAGTTGCATTTGACACAGATTATGTATGAGTTGATTGAAAATTAATTCTCATCTATTTCTTAAAGATTCTTAAACTTCCGATTGTTTTATCACATAGAGTCACGTAATATCAGGCATGTGATTGAGAATAATTAATAATTGGGAGAATTATTTATTATTGATTATAGGAGATGATTATAATTTATGGACGAATAAATCATATTTGACATAATAAACCTTGAGGTTTGGCGAGAAATTCATCTATCCATTTCTATGGTTAAATAACATTTTGACATTATAGCTGATGTCAATTTGTGATATAAAAAAACACCAAGAGTTTTTCAAGGTGCTCTACCAATTAATTTAGATACTTAATAAAATTATACAAGCCTACTAAGACAGATCAGTTGTAATCAATAACGTTACAAAACCGGGGTCAAAGTTTTAAAAGATGTAGATAGTTGTAAATTACTGTTACACATACCTTTTACTTAGATATTAAATTATAGTAGATTGAACAGAAGATCTCAGACTATTTTCTATTGCTTTATAATATCCGATTGTATCACAGGACGCTGTGATCGAGATAAATCAACCAGTATTTTATTTGAATATCTAAATAATTAGTGTTTGCACTACAGGGTTGTGGAGATTGTCACCTTACTATAAAATCATGAATTGATCGATGTTAGACCATCATTAGAAACCTGGAAGCACTGGACGGCCGTTTCGTTCTGGTTTTGAATTCATCTGCAGTGCGCATCCATGACTCCAGAAGTTTAGCGTTCAGTTGCAAGACCGAAGGTCCAGGGGTCGAATAGTGCGAACGGCAGGAGTCGTGGATGCGCCACCCTGACTAGTCACATAACACTGATCGATGCATGATTTCAATCAGTGTCGTTAAACACTTGAAAAAGAAGGATTTTATCTGGTAGCTATGAAACGCGTGTTTTGTTCATAATAAATAGATAAATTCTCTTCGTGTTGAATATTTTCACTAAAATCTCTTCATTTCACTCGTTATTTGATAATTAGGATTGAGTTTAAATTAGTCTCTATTTAAGAAGGTGTCTCAGGTTTTTGAGTTGACGAATTGTTCCTCTTACAGGTAGAAAGCATGTCTCTGACTGAACTTACTTACTTACATACTTACGCCTGTCACTCCAACGGGGCATAAGCCACCTACTAGTGTTCTCCAACCTACTCTGTCCTAGGCTCCCCTTTCCAGTTCAGTCCAATTTTTGTTAATATTGCCCATATCTTTCTCCACTTTTCGGCGTAATGTGTTTCTTGGCCAGACTCTTTTCTTATGACCTTGAGAGTTCCAAGTGAGGCCTCGTCTTGTGACGCAGTTGGGTGCTTTCCGCACTGTGTGTCCTATCCACTTCCACTGCTTCTTCCTGATTTTACTCCTCCACTGGAATCTGGTTTGTTTGCTCCCACAATAGGTTGGTGCTGATGGTATCTGGCTAGTGAGTCCGAAGTATTTTGCGTAGACAAGTGTTAATGAATACTTGTATCTTCTGGATGATGACTTTCGTAGTTCTCGAAGTTTCCTCTTCATATATAGTAAAACTATCTTGATATTTGTATTCGAAATTCTGATTTTGAAGTTGGTTGATAGTTGTTTTGAGTTCCAGATGTCCTTCAGTTGTAGAAATACAAACCTTGCTTTTCTCTTTGACTGAATTATCATCAATCAACAAATCAAAACTAGGTAAGAAAAAATCTCACCAATATCGAGTTGTTTTTTTTTCACAAGAGTGTTTCAAAGCATTAGAAATATCCAAAATTAAATTTTCATTAAAAAATGGTTAAAATATTCTACAAAAACAAAAAACCACCAGAACACAATCCATCAATTTTTTTTTTAAAAATAATTCAAAATTTTTATATTTAACAAATTTTTCATAAAATAATAAAGGTATTGAATGGCAAAAGAAATGTCATTTTGATATGAATATCACTAATGATTTGAACAAGCTCAAATCTTCAACATTGAATTCATCCAATTCAAATTTCAATATTTCTACTGATCATTTGTCAACTTCATCAACAAAACTGCCTATTACTCAGTCTTCTTCTGCTTCTTCATTAACATCAACCAATGATATGTCAGTAATGTTGTTACGTTTATCCGAAAACGAAGTAGATCAACAGCGACAACAACAGCAACAAGATAGTCATGATCGTTTTCAATTGAATCAAATGATCAAACCTTCAACCAGTTCATTGACCAATGTACAAACTTTGAAACAACACCAACATCATCAACAAGATCAACAACAGTATTTTCAAAAAAAGCGAAGAAAATTTTTTCGTAAATTCCTATCACGTGACTCTACGCCGAATTCCATCGATCGAGTTGATGATTCCCCAATGGATATATTTGAACATTTCGCTAATTTAAACAATCCAAAGTTGAATCAATGTATGAAACCAACTGTCACACTGTCATCATCATCATCACCGTCGGCACCAACATTAACAACAGTAACAAATGAACCGATTCGTCCATTTTCTGCACCACATAAAACATTGATGCATGAATCATTGAAAAATAATCTAGAAAAAATCATTAACAAACGAAATAGTTATTCACCAAATGATCGAATTATATCACCATTAAAAGAAGTATCTAATGAAGATGTAGAACAGAAATGTATTATACCATCGGAAAAAAATATTGAAATATTCAATCGACAAATGAGTTCATCAACTGGTGATATAATTGATTTGTGCAAAAAATCTATAGATCCTTGTATGAATAGTTTGGTAAGTAAATTTTGTTTCATGATTAAGTTGTGATAAAATTGGTTGAATTTCATTGAAATTATGAATCGATTAATTGTTAGACCATCATTAGATACTTGGAAGCAGTGTGCATGCATGACCGCTGCATGTGGGAACTGAACTTAGGGACTTCGTTCTCATGCGTGAGCGCTTAACCTCTGAACCACAAAGCCGGCATCCAACGGTATTTAACTTCAATCAATGCAAAATATAGTGCAACCTTATCCATTGTCTTTAGTAGCTAACTACTTACACCTGATAAGGTTGAAATGCATCGATCAGAGCTTCTCACTAGACAATTTCTTCACGAAGCTGATCACTAAAAACTTGTTATTCATTGAAAACATTTTTAAGCTGAAAGAGGAGGAAGAAAATATTTTTTAACCGTTCAGTAGACGGAAACTATTTACAAATAAATATTATTATCAATGCAGATAGATTGTAGTTAACAGTGGAATCCAAGATGTGGGTTTCGTTCTATTCCGCATTCATCAAATGTTTCATATACCTGGATCTCAGAGTTAATGTTCACTTTGAGATTTGTACATTCAGCTGACAAATTCCAAACAGACTGATAAGCGCTTCTTGGACTCCACTGTTAGCTTCATTCTATCTATTCCATGTATATATTAACCTGTGTTCATCATAATGGCCAAATCGACGCAGTCCATATAAGATGCATATATATGCCAACAAAGAATGATCAAATTTCAGTCAAAAAATATCAGTTTAAACAATTTCAAATTGAATTCATTCTCGTATCCTTTGAAAAAGTGAATGCATTCGTTAGCTAAGTCGATAGCACAATGGATTTTGATGAGAATGGTATTTGTATTCAACTAGCAAAGTGAATATCACCACTAAAATGTAGATAAATTAATTCCTAATATTAAATAACATACTGTTGGATTGTGTATTTTAATTCAGCTTGACTAGTTTGTTACACAGAGAACACTAATCAAGAGATAGTTAGAATATCTTTTGATTGTTAAAAGTCGAATAACTTACTTACTTACTTACTTACTTACTTGCTTACTTACTTACTTACTTACTTCTGTCCTAGGAATAGCTTATCAATTCTAGACAAATGCGTTTCTTCCTTTTTTTAATGTCAGCTTCCATTTCTCGATATTATGTGTTCTTTGGTGTTCCTCTTTTCCTTCCACCTTCAGAATTCCAAGTTAGGGCTTGTCCCACGACGCAGAGTTTTAAATGGTTTGAATTATTTATTTTGATTAGCGTTTTTTGGTTATCTATGGGGTGCGGTCGCTAACCCGAAGCTTAACTCTCTTTCTTTATGACTGATTCTACTTTATTACTGAGATCATGAATGAATCATCGCTTTACCATCATTACAAACCTGGAATCACTGGATGGCCATTTTGTCCCGATATGAGACTCATCAGCAGTGCGCATCCACAACTCCGGCTACTCACAGGATTTGAACGTAGGACATTCGTTCTTTCGCACCAAAGCCTAACCTCTGGACTATTCTACTTTATTCAAAAATACTGTATTCAATTGTCAATATTATATATGTATATACTTCCTCCCTCACCAACAACATTGTGAAAATATATATTTTTATCCATTTTAAATTTTACAAAAACTTTGGGAATTTGAATTTTTGAATTTAGTTATTGATAAATTATGCGAAGATTTGTTCATAAAAAATGCAGATTTGTAAAAAAAAATATGATTTATTATTATTATTATTACTTAGCTAATCGTTTGAAATAATCTAGGGTTATTGATAGATGAATAATATGTAAATTTGTCAGTATAGGGTTATGGAAATTGTTGAGTTTCATATAAAAATTATGAACTGATCAATGTTAGACCATCATTATTGGAAACATGGAATTACAATAAGAATTCATGATTGATTAATTTTCAAAAGCTAACCAATAATAATTAATGTATCCTTTATCTTTTGCAGATAAATCTATCATCATATCGACAACAACAACAGCAACCTTTGAATTATTCAATATCTTACACAACAAAATCACCTGATTTAATATATGAAACTACATCTGATCGATTGTCTATTCCTAATGTAAAGAAAATCATTCCTTCCATCAGTTTATCAACTCATCATTTACCTAGTAGTAGTAGTAGTAGTAGTACAACTATTTTACTATCAAATCCTATCATCAGTAATAAATCAAAGCCATTGTTAACAACAAATCAATCGGTTATCAATGAACGAAACAATGAAAAGACAAATGAACATTTAATCAACATTGATCAACTCCGATCACATTTAAAACAACAACAACACAGAGATGACACTGAAACGAAAGAAAAAGGCGCAAAAAGTCAAATTGGTTATTGTGAATCATTACAAGCCATAACAACCACTACAACTATACATCCACCAAAATTAAGTATGAATTCAACACAAGATTCTGGTTATATATCAATTGATCGTAATGACTTACATTCAATGTCACCGTCTTCTTCTTTTTCTTCTTCTTGTATACAAACAAATAATAATAGAAATTATCATTATACTTATTCACCTGTAGTTACAACAAATTCATCATCTATTATTCTATTGCATAAAATGAAATTCAATTCAAATCAATTAACAAAACAAAATCAACCAATCTATTCATTGTTCAATAATGATCATAATAATAATAAATTATTCTCATCATTACCGAAATTGAAAAAGTCGAAAATTTCAACTAACAATATTGGTGATAAACAAATTCCATTTAAATCATCCTATTTAACAAGACAAAAACAACGTAGACAAATGATATTAGCACGACGTAAATTATCACGAAGTCCTAAATGTTCATCATCATTACAATTGAATAATAGGTAAGTTTAGTTTGATTTGTTTATGTCAAGATATAGAAGTATGTGTATGGTATTTGATCAGAGTATTTGATGAACAGAAGAGAAAAGACAGAGCACCTGTCCAACTTGAATGATAGGATGCAATAGATGTAAATAGATATTTCATACATACTTGCTAGTGTTCGCCAAGTTCATTCGCCTCATATGTGTCTGCATTTCTTGACGTAATGAGTTTATTGGTTTTCCTGTTTTCCTTTGACTTGAAGGATTCTATGTGATGCCTTGTCTTGTTCCTCAGTTGGGTACTTTCGTTAACGTGTGACCTATCCACTTTCAGTGCTTCTTCCTGATTTCTTCCTCAGCTAAAAGCTAGTTTGTTCTCTCCTACAGTAGGTTGTGGCTGATGGTTTTTGGTCAGCGGATCTGAAGTATTTTGCGTAGACAATGGAGCTGTCCTCCATGAACGATTTTGTAGTTTCACTGTTTTAAAACAGTGCATATATATATATATATATATATATATATATATATATATATATATAATCATTAACTTGTGTTTTCATTCTACATAATATACTACACCTGAACGTGACTTGTTGTTGATAATATTCAGTTCTTAACAATGATTGACACTATCTTCCAACCGCAATATGGTTCATTCTGTTTAAGATCGCGAGATTACAATGTTTGGACTAACCAATCAGATTTAAGATGACAAGTCTTGGATTTTGGCGCGAAATTTATTTATTTATTCAGAAAGCTAAACAACAGCTAGGCATTATAATTGATGTTCATCATTCGTAATTAAAACATTAACTCCAGTCCCTAAACTTAACTTCTTACTCTATATCCAAGTCCTAATTCTTCACACCGATTCATAACTCTCGTTAAACCTTAATAGGTAGATGTATTTTCCAAAGGTCAACTTGGTGTCACTTAAAGGTCGTTCATAAATTATTCTGTTAGATTATTTGAAAACCTATAAAAATTAATAAAGTTGAAAATAAGAGAGACGAACGTTTGTAAAGAGATACATGTGGAATTAAAACATCAAAAAATAACCAACATTACTGATCGGAGTTGTTGATAATTCCTTCACATAAAGTTATAAGAATTACGTTCTAGCACCTGAAACTTTGAGTTAAACTTAAATCATTATTGGTCCATTACATGATAGTTAGTTTCAGTATGCCCCTTTTCTCTTGATCTAGAAGTTCTATAGCCTGTCTGTAGAAAATTCTTTACATTTCAAGTAGACAAAGTTAACGCACAAAATATACCAGACCACACATCATGTCACAAAATATGACAAGAAAATACATATTTATGCACAAGCAAACCGAAATTGGCTATAAACAGAAAGGAAACTGTGAATAATAAACTAGTATTAAGTTAGGAATAATAAATCACACAACAGTAGTTAATGCGTTAATCAAGAACTAGTGACAAAATCGATGTTTTTACACAATGAAATCATGAATCAATCATTGTTAGACCATTATTAGAAACCTGAAACTACAGGATGGCTGTTTCGTCATGGTATAGGACTCATCATTGGCATTGCGCATTCACGACTCCCGCTACTCACAGAATTCGAACCCAGGACCTTTGGTCTTGTACACGAACGTTTAATCTTAAGTACGTAATAGTTCAGTTATTTAATAATCATACAATGAGATTATATAATAATAATAATAGTCTGTAAATCTGTCCTGGAAGATACCATTTCTATAATTCCCACCTTTGGATACTAACAATGATAGGATCATGTATGCATCAAAAACAACAAGAAATCAGTGAAAATATTCGAAAGTATTACAAGAATAATAAAACTTTACCAACTAGTGACTAGTTTATTAGGGAAATTCTCACAGTTCTAGTGAGAAGCCACTAACAGTGGAGTTCAACCCTGTCGAGTGTGAGGTAGCTATCCATCGAAGGCAATGGAGAAAATCGTGTAAAACCTTAGATTGATTGGAGTTAGATATTAACACTGTTGGATCCCGGCTCAGCGGTTATGAGGTTAAGCGTTCACGCATGAGACTGGAGCTCCGAAGTTCGATACCCGCTGACAACAGGTCATGAAAACACACACTAATGATGAGCCCCACACTAGGACAAAGCCGCCTAGTTTGAGATTAATTGCATCCTGAGAGGATTGATAATCTCAAAAATGGTAATTTAGTCTACAAGCAGAATTGGAGAGAATGTATTGTCATTTGAAGTGTATGATAACGAGTTCCAATCCCATAAAATCACTCCATCTGGATCACTGTCGATTTCAAGCCTGGATAAAGGAGGTGGGCTGAGCGTAGGCTTAGAGACCCTATTTCTTAGAAAAACTGAATCGCTAAAATACTGGAAAGTTTCTATATACTTACTGGTACACGAAAGATATTAGTACTTTTTAGCACGCTATACTGTCATATATAGAGCTGTGGGTTTCTTATGAGACTAGAGGTTCGTTATGAATAACATTATGGGGATGGTTTGGCACTACTTTGGTAAGTTTTGCTAATTGTCCGTATATAAATTTGATTTTCAGGGTGACTGATTTCATTGATACTGATGGGGGTTGTCTTGCAACATTCACGAGGGCCTCTGTCATTCGGACACACTGTATTGCATATCACCATAGCTTATAATAATAATAATAATAATGAGTTTAATAGTCATGTGGTTCTCTTGAAAACCAATGTAAAACTATGCTTCCCCACTGCCGGTGCATTTACATAATATAATAATTATAACGTTTAATTATTTAGTCAGTCAGTTACAACGTAGAACTTCGTACGTACATACATCAGTTCAAGTCGCCATACCGCATTAGCACACAGAGATCAAGTTATCAATTCAAATCCCATAGTAGTAGACATAATAGAAGTACTAGCGGTAATCATAAAGATTAGGGTATGAATATATGATTGAAGAAGTAAAATCTAGTGAAATAAACTTAAAGAGAAAAGTAAAAAACGTGATGCCTAACTCGATAGATTAGAATTTGAGAGAACACAAAGAATGGCTGCAACTGACCCATTGCAAACGGTCTTAGCCATCTCGTTCAAGGTCTCCTCTAACAATCAATTACTATTATATCGCAGACTCCAACCGGGTAGTTCACACCTACCGACACGGCTCAGTCCACTTGTCAGTTTAAATAGGCATACGGATAAATCAGTTTGTATAGAAATCCTTCAAAAATCTCAAGGGAATCAATAAACAATCAAATAAATAATTAAAAAATTTATTCAGAATGATGTAAAATGAAAATAAGAATCAATAAATCAATACAGATAAACACCTCTGCATAAATCCAATCTTTTACATTACATACACATCCTACTCAACTCACCAGCCGAACAGACGTTCTCTTCCATTCTTGCCTCTCACGCATCAGGTATCCAGTTTAGAGGCATATCGGGATCAAATCTCTAACTTCAGTACATCATAACAATATATCTGTATTTGGAGGAGAAGACATAGTTTGTTTACGAATTATGTACACATAGTTCATTTAAAATCCTAGCAAGTTATTAACTATCTGTTGGGGATGTTAGATCACCAAAACTCGCTTGATAAATAATGCCTTATTTTGGTTTTCACCTTTGTGAGTATGGGATGATCAGTTCACCTTGAGATCACACATTTCCCACCAGCAAAATCCATGACTGTAATTGGCTGCTGTGTATTTTAGTGTGCTATTTTCGTAACTGTCCCAAGGAAGTTTCTATGATGTATAAATAAACGAGAGTTGTGTGCTTGATTGTATTGTGATTGCTGGGTGTTTGTAGAATATACTTTCTACGCTTACAAAGCCTATCTGGACGCTGGTAATTGTCTGGTTCGCGTCTATCGACTAAGGTGAACTCGTAATAGCTTCAAGCGTACCTAGTGACGAACATATCACTATCTTTTCGTACATTCCTTTTGTGGTTTTCGAAATATTATAACCATCATACCATTATGTATTTTGATTCACTAATGTTTTGTTCACTCTGATTTTAACACTCCGCTGTATTCTAGTTATAAACCTTGTTTGCGAGTAGTATTCAATATACTAAGAGTTTATATTTGATAAATGTCTGGAACATTTCACTAGTTTACGATTATGAAGCAAGGCAAATTAATCAATATCTTGATATTATCCATATACATATGTATCCTTATTCTTTTTATATATTTAACACAGTTCTGATCATACTGGACTCCGTGAAAAATTCACATCACATACAAATAACATTCACTGGTTACCAGAGAATTATGAACATGACGATGATGATGATCCTGATGATAATGATGATGATAACGGTGATATTCCATTAAAACAATTCAAGGTGAGTTTAAAACCACCGCGTAAAAACATCATAACACAACAATCAAAAAAAATTAATCAACAGTCTATTGACTCTTATCAAAATGATGATTTTGATCGAACTGTGCCGGCGATTGAAAGGATGAGTGAAAAATCGGAATTCAGCTCATCAAACATTCAATCCACACCATATCATCATGTGATCAATACTGATATGAATTCAAATCAAATCAATCGATGGTCTATGAATTCAGTACAAACTACACGTTATTTAAATGATCATAATAATAAATGGGGGGAATATTTGGATTCATTTGGTACGAATCAATGCCAAATTCCAATAGTTTATACTACTGAAGTAAGACATAACGATGAAAATGACGCTGGTGATGACGGTGAGGACAATGATAATGAAGATTTAGGTCCTGTTATAATTACTCCAGACGATGACATAAATGATAATGACGTTAATTATCTTTATGATGATGATGATGATATAACTTTATATCATCAGTCTATCGTTCCAAGTGGTCATCATCACTCATTAGAACGATACACATCACCAGTAAGTATTGATTATGAATTAATGCACTAGATAGATTGATTAATTCATTGAGAGTAGTGGTGATCATGTTTGTTTTGAATTTTTTACAAAAATTAATGAAGACTTTTCAAAAACACGCATAATCTGGTACGAAATTGAAATAATGTTGTCAGCATCACAGATGTATTTTTCTTTTTGAGGCTTTAATCATCTTTCATTATTGTAAAGTAGTGTGTCTGTGTTATATTCGTTGTCGGGCTCACCATTTTAGTAGGCTGCGCGATATGACCCCATTGTTTATGAACAGTTGAATATGCTATGAGGTAAATCTTCCCTTCAGTTTCCGTATTTCAGACTTAGGCGAACCCTATTTGTGTGGTGACGGTCGTAAGAAGCCAAATATAGATTTAGTTGGATGAGGAGTTCATTTCAGACAATCATTCGCGTAGAGACATTAGAATACAAAGCGTTAAAACAGAGCAAAGTGAAGTGGAGAAGGAGAGTGAGCTAGCTGATTGTAATGTTACATGAATAAAGCGTTTATAGACATGTCATTAGCGAAGTAAGTGATCACACACACACCTCTATCTAATAAAAACAACCAAGATATAAGCAAATAGTTTATAAGGTCGACCTTAAACTCGAGAAGAATGATTTCGTTAATTTGTTCAAAAGCCGGGACAAGCCCTGTGGGCTTAGCATAAAAGTACACATACTAGAGTAGAATGAGAAAAAAGTCTATCTAGTTCTGACCAGTTCTTCCCAGCTGTCTAGTTATGGAGTCAGTTCATGTAAGAAACAAAAAAAACCGAACAACATCCATTAACTTTCATTATCAGTTGATTGATGGATTTGTCCGTAGCTTGAATATTTGTTGTTTTCGACAAGTCAATGTCAAGGAAAGCATACATATATATTCAGTATATTCAAGGAGAAAGTAATTTCAATCATTTAATAGCTTAGTCACATTTACTTACTTACTTACTTACTTACTTCCATTACCCCTTGTGAAGCATAGACTGAATATCTTCAAATCTCTTTCTTTCCCAATTGTTCCCAAATGCTATTCATCATTTTGATGCCTACCTCTAATATCCGACGCAGTGTGATTTTTTGATCTACCTCTTTTCACTTAGCTTTGAGGATTCCGAGTTAAGGCTTGTCTCATGAGGAACTTAGATTATTTCCGCAATATGTTTCCTAGACAACAGTGTTTTTCTTTAATTTCTTTCTCAGATGAAAGTAGGTTTGTTTGCTGAAGTGCTGAGCTGAGTGAATTATTCAAACATTTTCTGGTCACCGATGCACTGATCAGTGTACTTGTTTGATTTTTATAAGTGCTGGTCTAACTCTTTTATTTTAATTAACGGAAGATAATTAATAAAAATAACAAGTTAATGAAATTATGATTGATTGACACAACAGACAATTAGACACTTTGAGTTTATATTATTGATTTTGTATATATGCAACCCAGGTGAAAATTGATATCAATCCAGGCATTACAATTTCAACTAAACTTTACTGATTCGACCAAGCTTTTCTTTCAGGTTATTCAAACTAAATTAATGCATATATTTCATAGTTTATAGCATGGTTTGAACTTAGTCAGACGATTTCTGAAAACGAAAACGTACTGATCATAGTAGAGAACTCTTCAGATAACAATATATGCTTTAGATTCCTGCAAGGATCATTTTGAGGATCATGAGCCTTTGCAACGATGACTTAGCTTTTAGATTACTTAGATGAGGTTCAATGGTCCTAATTTAAAACTGAAATCCATTTTGTTATATGATACAATCATCTTCCGGTTCCATTAGTTGATAATTAAATGACATTCAATATGGCTGGACTTCACTAATCCCAGCTTTCTATTACGTCACTACGCATAGTTGGTAAAAGTGGCATAATCTATCTCACCATGTTTGTTGACTCAAATCCCCTTGATTAGTTTAATATTTTCATATAAATATTCATGTATATTAGAGTAAAGCTTGATGACGATCGAAATGAAAACATCATTGTTCACTTATCTGTGTTCCTCTAATTTTCACGACTGAAATCTTTAAAATTCCAAAAATTAAAATATGACTAATTCAACCAATTCATTTTAATGATTAATTAAATCTTCTCACTGATGTTTATTACTGTAATTGACCAGTTCTATTCGGCATATGTGTATCATCTGTGCCGATTGCTTCGTTATAATGACTAGCAGTACAATCCATGTCGTGTGTTTCATCCTAGTTGGGACTCATGTTTAACTGAATAAATGTACCTAGAATTTGGAGCTGATGTTCACCCTGGGACCCGAACTCAGTATCGTTCATTTCAAAAGCCTTCACGTTATTCATTGAAGATGCGTTTTTCTTATGGCAACTCTAGTGAGACGAAAACCAAAGACTGTTCAGTAATTGATAGCTGTTTTATTCTAGAATGTAAAATCCTCAATAGTAAGAACTTATCACCATGATAGAGACTATACTGTTAAGTTCGTCGCTATTTACGCTTGAAGCTATTACGAGTTCACCAGCGTCCAGGTAGGCTACATTGAATCGCAACTGCTAAACAGAAGTCTTAATAAGCGTAGAAAGTATATTCTAGAAACACCCAGCAATCACAATACAATCAAGCACACAACTCTCGTTTATTTATACATCATAGAAACTTCCTTGGGACAGTTACGAAAATAGCACACTAAAATACACAGCAGCCAATCACAGCCATGGATTTTCCTGGTGGTAAATGAAATCTCAAGGTCAACTGATCATCCCATGCTGGCAAACGTGAAATCCAAAATAAGGCATTATTTATCAAGCGAGTTCTGGTGATCTAACATCCACAACATATACCCACAAACTCTCATAGAGTATAAATACCACTATTTACCTGACAAGTATCTAAATTACGATAACCTCATTTTTTAGCTAATTTGACTTAATCTAAGTACTTATTCCTCATTCTAATTAGAAACAGAAATACATCATGATATACTTACATTGCCCCCATATACTCTGGTATGACGAATATTGAGGAATATCCGATATCTCTCTCCAAATGCTCTAAAAGGGCTACGAGTGTATAGCCGTCATCAGGCAAGACTTATTTACTGCCTTATCGTGTGGTAGCGGTGTCATTCACGAGACTGGGAAGACAAACAGTGAGTGTCTGACTGAGGCTTAAGCCGAGTTGGTAGATATGGATGATCCGCCTAGGTGAATTGTAAAACCCACATTCCGAACCAATGTTCCACATGGGTTTCAGGATCCTAACGAAAATAATGGCATATGAACCCATTATTAGTGACCGGTTACCATGAAACTGCATCTGAGCACGTTGTTCCACTACGATTTAGACTAGAATTTCTGGTAGAAGGTTTGTAGAGTGGCTTCCTACAAACAAACCAATTCCTTTGATTTGAGCATCTGCTCAGTATCTCAATTAGTCCACTCACTAATTCACTGATTTTTATGGTGCATCAATATTTAGGGACTACATTGTACCAATGTTTATGTGTTTAAATTAATTTTTAAAACAATGCATTCAGCTGATGAGATTTTCACTGAGCATACAAATAAAATTTATTTCCGGCAAAGAACTAATATTTTTTTGATTAATGTTAGTTACGTTTATTAAACAATGACTAGTTCAAGTTTTTCTTCTATCAGTTTGAAAAGCAGTTAGAACTATGACAACACTATCATGATGTATAGAAATAATAAATGGGCCTTAAAACACAAAATGATGAAATCATGTAGTTTTTAGAGAATTATAAACTGATTGAAATCATGAATCAATCAATGTTAGATCACAATTCGAAACCTGGAAGCACTGGACAGGATGGATAAAAAAATCATCATCAATGAACATCCATGACCTAACTCTAAACTCAAACCGAAGACCTTCGGCTTCGCAAGCGAACTCCTAACCTCTTGACCATTGACCACATTCTATGATGACAATTAACATGTGATCACTAGTGGCTAGCTTAGTGAAGGAATTCTCGAAGTTTTAACTTGAAGCAGTGACTAGTGAAATTTAACTGTGTTGGATGTGAAGCAGTTAGTTACCCAATGTAGACGATAGTTGATGCTCTCACAATACCGTGCAGTGGTTGAAATTAAACATAGACACTGATGTATGTTGTCTCAAACAAAGATCAAGAGGTTAAGAGGTCACTCATTAGACCAAGTGCTCTGTTTTTTATTTTTACTTGTAGGGTTGTGGAAGTGATCTGCTGATGAGTTCCATACTAGGACAAAACAGTTACCCAATGTTTCCAATAGTTATCTAACATTGATTAGTTCATAATTTTAATCAAAACTTAACAATCCTCACAACCTTATAACCACAATTATACATTGAATACAAAATTAGGACATAGGATACTTTAATTAATAATATATTATCTTCTGAATAAGTTATATATAATATTCCTAAGGCAACAGTTAACCACAGTTATTTCAGTAAGAAAGAGAGTGTGTGTATGTGAGTGAGTGAGTGAGTGAATCAATAAGAAAATCACACATTAAATGCAAATCATAAATCCTGTTATTAAGACATAAATCAATTTACTTATAACAATACATAGATATTCAAGCAGAGACAACTGGCCACACTCTCTCTCTCTCACACACACACATACACACATAGATATGTAAATACAGAACAATAGAGAGATGGATGAAGTTTGTTGGATAAGACATTGTTCCTTCGCCTTTCTAATTTATATACTCTATGTCTACAATTGGAAATCTGCAACTATTTCAAGATATTAATTAATTTAAAAAGAACTTATACAATACTGATCAATATATGTATGAATAGACTCAAGCATAAATAGATTTGATCAAGCAAACACTTGAATATACAATTCAAGTAAAAAAAGTTAATTTGAAGCAGAGGTAGTTTTATTTATTAAGAAAAGATTTTAATTATCATGACATTTAGAACGGTTCTTCGGAATTTTTACACATGATCATTGTGTGTGTTGCATATTTGATCCAGTTTGAAATGATGTTGAATTATTTCATAGTTGATATTTTTTTCAGATTGAAATTTCATTAGTAATATGTATGATATATGAGTATCCTTATGTGTGGATTGCCATGATATTGTTAGCTAATTATGACAGAAATTTATAGAGATCAGAATCTAGGAAGCTTGTCTCGTCTCCTCATATTTTGGAACTTGTCAGTTAGTGGTATTTGAATCCTAGAGTTGCTATTCATACTGGGAATTGAACTCAGTATTATTTACTACAAACGTCATCACGTCATGTATTCAGACTTTAACTTCAAATAGCCATTCACTTGTGAAGTGAGTATAAGTTTTGAGCCAAGTTGAGATGATTTTAGATTATCCCGTAGTTAATAGTTTCTTATTGATATTTTATAAGTCTTGATTATCATATGGGCAACCTATATGGATCCCCTTGATATAACCATCATGATGACACACGTTTAGGCATAATAGTGTACTGTGTGTACTCTAATGTCGAGCCCATAGGGCTTGTCTCAGTCTTTGGATAAATGAATCAATTCACTGTTCCCGAGTTATTATTCTTTTGACCTTGTCAAGCATTTGCTCATATTTAGGTTGTTTTTATTCGTATATGTGAGTGCAACGCTCACTTCGCGTATTGATTATCTTGCCGATTTTGTCTGACTACAAGTACTTACTCATGCTTCATTACAATGAAGTTAGCTCACTAGCCTTCTCCATTTATCTTCGCTTTGCTTTTCGTTCTCATATCTGTCTATATGAACGAGTGCTTGAAATAAATTTATCCAGTCGAATCTTTATTTCACTTCTTATTGCCACCATCGTACAAACGAAGTTTGCTGAAGTATAATATATACGGAAACTGAAGGTGAGATTTATTTTATCGCAATATTTAGTTGTTCATTAATATCGCATTCAGATCGTGGGATACTATGATAAATAGAATGTGGTTAGCAATAAGATTAGTGATTTCAACTACAACTGTGATCCTCTTCTTCTTGTACTTAATCATTAATTAACAGGTAACTTTTTACATTTCATGATACAACACTCTCTTTGTACATAAATCATCATAGAGAAGGTCCCGATTTTCTATTTGATTGAACTTTGCAGGTTGTAACCTTTCACTAGGAGCTTATACTATTCAGTTCCGAATTGTAATAGTAATAAGTACAAGAATATAATCCCACAAATTTATGTACGATTTCTTACTTTTTAGCAGACACACAGACAGACAGATACAGTACAGAACTTCGTACATAAGTACATCAGTTCAGGTTGTCATACCACGTCAGCACAGAGATGTAACTGTCAGTTCAAATCCAAGAGTGATAGCGATAGTAGAATTATTTATTAGCAGCAATGGAGAAGATTAAGAAGCGAAGATATGATTCGAAGAGTATAATTCAGTGAGATAAATTTGTAAAGAGAAAGACAGAGATTATGAGGAATTCAGTAGGTTAGAATTAGGGAGAACACAAAGAGTGTATGCACCTTTGTGTATAACATTTTAGCACCTACCTAATATCTCAACCTATGTTATCCTTGACTAAACATTAAGATTTTGTTTGATATTTAAACCCTCCTATGAATTTTAATCTTTTCACCTATATTATGACTTAGCTACATCCTAAGAAGTATACTTTAAACTGGATAAACTACAAAACCAAATAATAACGTAGCTTTTAAATTGAACACCCCAACAGCAGTGGTTTACGTCTAGTCAAAAAGTATCTTGTGTACTATGGGAGCATTCACAGTAACATGAATAGTGAGGAATGGAATAGAGGTGAAACAGCAACCGAGCAAGCGCATAAAATGCAATTACTTTTAATGAAGACAGTAATAAACAACAATCAGTGATCACGAAAGCTTCGAATAATTCGGAAAAAGAAACTAAGAGTGGATAACGTGAAGATCCTGACGGTACTAATGGCATATGAACGCATTGTTAGTGACCGGCTACCATGAGACTGCATATAATGACGTTGTTACACTACCTTGTGGATTAGAATTTTGCATGTAAAAAAACTTAAAACCTGCAAAAAACCCAATGGCTTTGTTCTGAGCATCTGGACAGCATTGCAGTCTGCTCAGATTCAGTTAAAAACGAGTCATGGATTATTTACTTCTACTAATCAAACCCAAGATGTGACCATTGGAGTTCAACGCTGTCAGTTATCGACAGTAACTACCGAAGACAGTAGTGAGTGAGGTTACGCCGAATCCTTAAAGTGGTCAGAATTAGACATTAACGCCGTTGGATGCTGGCTCAGTGGTCTTCAGAGGTTAAGCGTTCGCGTGCAAGGCTGAATGTCGTGGGCTCGACTCCTGCGAGCCCCAGGAGTCGTGGATGTGCACTGCCACCAATGAGTCCCATACCAGACAGATACAGCCGTCTGTCGAAGCCTTCGGGTTTCTGATGCTGGTCTAACAATGATTCATCTATGATTTCAATGTGTAATGATCGGACCAATGTTCCAAAAAATGTCTCGACTTTTTTTATTCATAAAAAAGACTTTTAGCTTTTTTCTTCCTTATTCATTTCCAGTTAATGCATCGAAAATTACCAGTGAATAATGATCGTTATTTATTAAAATCTAATCGGCAATCATTCAATACACATCATCCTAATTATTATTATCATCAGCAGCAATGTCAACTTCAAAATTCACATCAAGCACCGAATAAAAAAATGTTTTCTTCATCTGCTCCTTATTTTATCCCAATCAATCATAATTATCAAACAAATGATAATCATAGTCAAACAATGAATTATGAAAAATTGACATTATTTAATCATAATATCAAACCATCATCAAAACAAATTTTAAATGAGGCGCGAAATCCCTATCAAATTAATTTAAACAAACAAACAATGTTCAACAACAATAATAATAATAATAATAATAATAGACATTTTCAATCGTTATCTTCATTATCAAATAAATCGTTAAGACTATCGTCACCACCAACACCGACAAACACAACCACACCATCCATATTATTATCGTCAATGTATACAAATTCTATTTGTCCTTCAAATCAGCCTAGTATTTCTACTAACCGATCGTTATGTAATCAAACAATGAATGCATTAAATTTAAAACACCAATCAATGTACAATTATACAACAAGCTCATTAAGACAACAATCAAATAAAACACAACCACTGCAACAACACCAACAACAAATACAATCATTGCATAGTCATCATCATGATCAATTGAAAACGAATGGTAACACAATGAAATATTCAACCATACCATTAGATAAAACATTATTACTGCGAACGAAACCGATGATTGATAATGAAGTTGAAAATTATATTTGTACGAATATGAATAATACTTTGGTAACTAGTACTACTAGTACTACACCTAGTGCTACTACTAATAATAATAGTAGTACGGAATGGGTACATAATACTTTACAATCTAATGTAATGAGTCGATTTTATATGACAAAAAATCATTTATTCATCAATGAACCATATCGTCGTATTAGTTGGCCATATAGTTTATATGAATTTTTACCAGAAACATTTTCTAATTCAAATATTCTTGTAACTAATACTACTACTACTAATAATAATACTAATACTAATAATAATGAATTAAAACAAACAAATCAAAAGTTAGAAATTTCACCTGTAACACTGAATTCAAATCGAAATCCAATGGATTCTGTTTTCATGTCAACATTTAAAACACCAACTAATGTAAATGAGGTAAACGTTTAAATTGGGAATCATGTTTACAAAGAATGAAATTATATTTTTTTTGGTATATTTGAAGTTTAACCATTTTTAATTTATTACTGAAACCATGAGTCAATCATTGTTAGATTATCATTTTCAAGTTATATTGTATAAATTACTTACTTACTTACTTACTTACGCCTGTTACCCCCAATGGAGCATAGGCCGCCCACCAGTTTTCTCCAACCAACTCTGTCCTGGGCTTTCCTCTCCAGTTCTGTCCAATGTTTGTTCATTCCTCTCATATCTTTCTCTATTTCTCGGCGTAGTGTGTTCCTTGGCCTTCCTGTTTTCCTTTTGCCTTGAGGGTTCCATGTGAGGGCTTGTCTCGTGATGTAGTTAGGTTCTTTTTTTAGTGTGTGTCCTATCCACTAACTCCACCGCTTCTTCCTGATTTCCTCCTCCACTCGAATCTGGCTATATATATATAGTCCTCAAAATATTTGAAATCAATAGAAATTTCTGTAATGAAGTTAAAATGTGAATTTAAAATGGTGCTTAAGCTAAATTGCATAGTATAACTGATCTGAAGGCCAGACGTATGTTTAAATACTTGTTGGGATTCAATGCATTATCTAGAGTGTTAAGTGATAATTGATAATATTCTCTAATTCTAAATCTCAGCTCAAATATTTTAAAGTTGGAAATGGTACAATGGTAAAGCAATGCATTAAAGTCGATGTCGGTTCGTGTTGAAAACCCTAAACTTAATTTGATAAACTAAATTCAAGAACCTAGTTTAACTTTTAATGCCTATCCCTAACCGTTTAAGATGATAGTTGCTCTCATTTGGTGACGAAAACTTTATAAGGTGATGACAATACCTCATAACACTTTCTTGACTCGGAATATGTAAACTTCACCTTTACCTTTCACTAGAAGGGACAACTGATTATCTAGGTCAGTGTTCACTCTCCACTAATATTTTATAGTTTTTAGCTGTTGACTATTTTGTAATTTCACTGAAATTATGAATCACTTGTTAACATAACACCATTAGAAACCTGGAAGCAATGAACGGCTACTTTGTTCTACATTAAGACTCATCATCACTGCGTATCCACTAGAGCCACTCACGAGAATCGAATCCTGGACCTTCAGCCACATGCACAAACTCTTAACATCTAAACCACTGACTCAGAATCCAATGGTGTTAATGTTTCATCTTAATCAATCCTTAATATAGTTAGGCAGCATTTGCTGATTAGCTGATATGCAGCTCAATGTAGTCAATATATTAGACACCTTCATTGTATGAGTAAATGGATTAGACATCATTAACTTAATACTAGTCAGTCTGTTAGTCAGCTACAACGTAGAACTTCGTACATACGTACATCAGTTCAAGTCGCCTTACCACATTAGTCACAGAGAGAGAGAATTGTTTATTGTAGTACTATAGTAGTAAACGTGATAGAAGTATTAGTGGTAATGGAAAAGTATAATCCAGTGAAAAAGATTTAAAATGAGAAAAACGGTCGTCAGGATTTCCGGAAATTAGAATTCGAGAAACGAACCTGCACCATTGCAAACGATTTTGAGCCATGGCATTCAAAGTCTCTAACCACCGGTTACGATTGTCTCGTGGATCCCAACCAGGTAGTCCATATTTACAAACATTGCTCCGTCTAGTTGTCAGTGACTTCATAGATATGTGTCATGTTTTGGTGTGGCAACATCTAGCTTTCTTCTAGCCTATCCCTACACCATAAAACATTGCTCATCGAGACAGTCGTTGGTCGCTTCGATGACACCTATGATTGAATACTTGTAACCTACGAAAATTCTCTCTTCTTAATGCCCATGCTTCACATCCTTTTAGTAGGACATAATGAACTGCTGCGTAGTAGACTCGTCCTTTGGTTAGCAGACGGATATATCTCACCTAAACCATAAGTATTAACTCACTCCTTTTATAAATTTAAACGATATTATTTCTGCCCTATCATAAAAGATCAAAATTCTCCTTCAATAATTGATAGTTTCATTATTGATATTAAATTGTGAAATTGATCAATCTCTATTGACAGTATAAGCTGTTCGAAAATATAACTTTATACTGTATAAGCTAAGTATTTTGTGTAATACTTACTTTGGTTAAGCCATAGATAATTTATAGTTAATGTTTACACTATCATTTGGTTAGTAAATTCATTTATTCTTTTCTAATCCGTGTACTGCTTAACTGAGTGGCATTGTGTAGTTGGAAGTTACTGAATTACTTACGCCTGTTACCTATAGTGATTTTTGGTCTTCGTTTATTCCTTCCAAATTGATGATTCCATTTTGAGGGCTTATCTTGTGACTGATTTGGGTGATTTCCTCAATATATATCCCATCCATTTCCGGCGCTTCTTCCTGATTTCTTCCTCCGTTGGAATCTGGTTTCTTTCATCCCATAGTAAATTTTTGTTGGTAGTGTCTGGCCAATGAATCCGAAGTATTTGGAGTAGACAGCTGTTAATGAACGCCTGTATCTTCTAGATGATGGCCTGCATAGTTCTCCAAGTTTCCGCTCCATATTGTAGAACTGTCTTGACATTTGTATGAAAATTGTCACTTTGGTGTTGGTTGATAGTTGTTTCAGTTCCGAATGTTGTTGAAATGTAGAAAAATGTTGCCTGTGCTTTACCGATCCGAGCCTTCACATCTGCATCAGATCCGTATTGCTCATCAACTGGCCTGCCAAGATATGTAATTTTCAAACAGAATGAAATATCAGCCACGATGGATGGTGGCTGGCAGTGGAATCCATCAATATATATGTGTTTCGGCCTATTTAGCATTCATCTTCTATAGCTGCATAGATTTAACTGTTCATATTGGGACTCGAAACCAGTATCGTTCATTTCCAATGCCATCACGTTATCCTCCTAGTCATTCATTCCAATTGGTTACTTCTTTATGCAATGGGAGATGAAGATTAGAGCAATCCATACGAAATATTGGATTATCTAATAAAAAAAGAATTTCTATTTTTGATTAGGGTTTCTTGTTTATGTTAGTTTTTCTAATGATGTCTAATCATTCAAAAAAAAGGAGTACTTTAGAAACTAGAATTCTCTAATTTTATGTAACAATTCTTCGAGCAAGTTATTATTGTTCGGTCTCAGCTAATAAAATCAGACAACATACATACAAAAATGAAAATGTGTCAATCAATGTGAAAAATAGTAGTTTTTTCTCTAAGGTATTAACAGATACTAACTTTTTCGTTCTCTCATTCGCCCTATAAATATATATATATATAAATAGTTAGTTATACAAACAAACCTATGTCATGAGATTTATTGAAACAGACATGCATACGTTTTATTCTCAAATCGTAAGGAAAATCTGATCAACAGATAGTTTAGTCAAAACAGAAAAAAAAAGGAAAGGTAGACTAACACGATAACTACATTTATTTATTTTATTTTTTATTTTTTTTCAAAAATAAACTTTTAAAACAAATTCATTTTCCCCTATGGTTACATACATTTCTTGTTTGAATGTTTGATGAAGTGAACAATTTTTTGACTATGGAAAAAGAAACAAATTTAATTTGGGCAATTCAATATTTTGAGAAGATTGTTGTGTTGTTGATTTAGGATCGTGAGTCGGTCAATAGTAGACAGCCATTAGAAACCTGACAGCAATGGACGGGCGTTTCGTCCTGGTATGTGGGACTTGCCAGCGCGCAAGATTGAAGATCCTGGATTAGATTCCTTTGAGAAGCTGAAGTCATAAATAAATGTGCACTGACAGTGATGAGTCCCACAGCAGGACGAAACGGCTGTCTAGTGGTTGTAGGTTTCTGATAGTGTTCTCTAACATTGATCGACTGATGATTTCAAAGCAGTTTAATAATCAGTCAGGATTTGATTTTGACCAATTTGGTCTCGTATGCTGTTACGGGTATGAGGGCAGTTATCACTTCCCGGCTGCCCACACCGCGGAAGGGTGTTTCTTGAGGGACCTGAAAAGGAAAATAGATTAGTGTTGGTCTTGGAGACCTGAGTGCGTGACCACAGAGCCCAAGGGACAACTGCTTGAGACCGGTCACGCACGGCCTTTTTATGAAAGGTTTTTTGAGGATTAGCTCCGCTCTTAAAGGCCCTTAGTGGGCACCCTTACCCAAGGAGACGGAAATCCGTGAGGTAGGGTGAGGTGTGATATTTTTAGGGTCGACCTTTTCTAACCCTTCCTTCCTTGTGAGAAGGCAGCATCGCTGCAGATGCTGGTTATCCGAGGGAAACACCTTACTGCTGTCACACCCCTCTGCAATCAGCAGTACGACTTCACCCTCAGACCTGGGGTAGCTGCTATTAATCTCATCGCTCTCCAATAGACCTGCCTGGCATGGTAGGACCTTCAGGAACATAAGTTCCAGCCAGTTTAGCTCGGTTGGGTCATCACGACAGGCAAGCCCGACCACCACGTCAAGGTATCAGCTTCGGTCGGGTAGTTTAATAATACTAAAAGAAAATAATAATGTGATTAAAAGTCCAAATATTTATGTCAGTAATGATGTAAAGTTTGACATTGGAACAGGTAAACTTGATTCTTAATTCGAAAATCGTTCTTACTATTTATCGAGATTCAGTCACTGAATTACAAATAACCTTGACAGTTACTAGAAACTTTTGAAAACAGTTCGTTTAATTGTCACTATTTTAATTTTAAAGCAATTGGATGAGTTAGTCAATCAGATACAACGTAGAACTTGCTATATAATTACATCACTTTCAGTCACCATACCACATTAGCCAGACAGAGATAACATTGTCAGATGTGATCCCAAAGAAGTAGAGAAAGCAGCAGAATCCGACAGGATTAGCGTTCAAACATATTGTTTGAGAAATATAATCCCAGTGAAATAAATTTTAAAAGAGAACGATAAAGGTAATAAGGAATTCAGAAGACTAGAATTTGAGAAAAGACAAACAGTAGATTTACCTGAGCCATTGCAATCGATTTTGAGCCATATC